CCCTTCGGGGTCCGAGTCCGCGGTACCAGGCGCCATCCCCTCCTGGTCCGCTTAGTGAGCACCTGGCGGGGATGCGGAGCCCCAGGGCCGGCGCGGAGAGGCTGGGTCCCCTCTTGTGTGCCAGGTCCCCCGCTGGCCCGGCCTTCTTCCTGCCTCCCAGTGCCTCCACAGGGAGAAATTATTTGCCTCCTGTGACAGTGGAAGAAACGGAGGCCCAGAGAGGTTAGGTCACCTTGTCAAGCTCAGCAATCGGGCTTTGAGTGCAACCTTGAAGAAGGAAGGAGCTGGACGTTTGAAGAAGGGAAGATGGCAGCTTAGGCAGGAGAACAGCTAGAGCAAAGGATGGGGGTGGGCCGCGGATGCAGGGGCTAGAGATGGAGGTGGAGGCAGACTGCAAGGCTGGGTTGGAGGATGAGGGCCCAGGAAACCGGATGCATCTGTGCAAGGTCAGTGGAGGCTTGCTTAGCTGGACTTCGGAGAACTCAGTGGGAATAACAATGGTCCAGAGTCCAGTGTTTGCTGGAGAAATTTTTTTGTTTGTTTTGTTTTTGTACTTGGAATAGAACCCGCTGAGTGCTACATCCCCAGGTTTTTTGTTGTTGTTGTTGTTTCTTTTTTCTTTTTTTTGGGGACAGAATCTCCCTAAGTAGCAGGGGCTGACTTGGGATCCTCCTGCCTGAGCCTCCCCAGTCCCTGGGATTATAGGCCTGTGCCACAGTGCCTGGCTTGCTGGAGAGATTCTAAGGCCAGTCAGGAGGGGCAGAGAGGACCATGGAGTAGGGGACAGGCATTGGCTGGGGCCTGTGACACCTGATGAGTGCTGGGAGTTTTATCTGGGGGAAATCAAATGTCTGAATTGGCGGGAAATAGGCTGGATCTTAAAGCCTGCTCTGCACAAATCCCTCATGTGCACCAGAAGGTTTGGAAATGGTTTGAGAGGCCTGGTGGGCTCCCTGAAGGAGGAGGAGGAGGCACCTGGCAGTATGCTAGCCTGGCCAATGGAGGGCAGCCCGGTGGCTCCATGCAGCATACTGTCTCCTAGGGCAGCAGATGCTGAGGGCAGACAACAGCAGGCAGGGTATTTGGTAAACAGGTTGGACAGGAGCCCTCTGGGTGGGGTTTCTGACTTATTACCTGTGCCTCATGTGAAAGGCCACATCTGGGCATCAGCTTCTGTGGGTCTGGGGTGGCTTTGGCCCACTGAGAAGGTAGTGTGTGGCCACAGCCAGGACCAGGCCCTAACTCCCACCCACCACCCAAACAGAAACCTCTGGCCCTCCCCCCGCCTAGCGCTGAGCCCTGTCTGCCTTAGCAGCACCCTGTGCCCTGTGTCTTTGCACCGCCAGGCTGGGGGGGGCGGTCTGCACCACAACTCCCCCACCTCCCCTTCCTCTCTCCCTTCCCTTACCCTGCCCTTGGCTTCCCCTCCCCTCAGCTGCCTACTCAGTCTTTCTTGGACATTCTTGTCCACAGAGCCCTTGGGCCCTGGCCTCAGCCCTCTTCTGCCCAATTGCAATCCCGCTGTCCTGGGGCGAGCTCCTTTCTCTGGGATTCCTCAAGACCTCCTTTGCTCCCTCCCCTGCTTAGAGTCTCCACAGGGCTGATTCTGAGCCTACCTCCTCCTGAACTTCAGACCCAAATATGATCCCGTGGGACACACACACCCATGTCTGGCGGGCCCCTCAGGCATAGCATACCCAGCCCAGCTTCCTCCTTGGGTTCAAACCCATGTGGATTGGAATCCCCACCAGCTGCAGGTCTTGGGGGCTGTGGGATGTAAGAACAGGCTACTTTCCCTGTGCCTGGTGAAATGGGGAAAATATCAGAGTGACCTCCTGGCAGTGGGGAGGGGTCACATAAAGTTCCCCATGTGACCCAGGGAAGAGGTCAGTGATGGCTGTACTTAATCTATGGCCCTTATCTAGCTCCACCAGGACTGTTGCTGGGTTGGAGGTGGCCTCCAAGAAGGCATGGGTAGGGAGGTTGACCCGTGAGCAGAGCGGGGCAGAAGTGACAGGGCTCACTTTTTTTTTTTTTTTTTCATTTATTTTTTAGGTGTAGATGGACACAACACAATGCTTTTATTTTTATGTGGTGCTGAGGATTGAACCCAGGTCCCGCCTGTGCTAGTGGAACGCTCTACCGCTGAGCCACAATCCCAGCCCCAAGGGCTCACTTTTGACGTTAGGTTAAAAGAGGCTGACTTCTGTTTTGGGGTGACATGACCCCTCCACCATCTTGCTCTCTGGCTGGGAGAGATGCCAGATGCCACGCCCAGCAGCCCAAGGAGAGGTCCACATGGGCAGAGCCTGAGGCCACCAGCAGCCTCATAGATGTGCTGAGAAGCAGATCTTCCCAAAGCAAGCTACAGATGGCTGCCTGCTGTCCCCATTGCAGACTGCAAGACCCTGGATTAAGTGGGCCAAATGTGTTTGGTTCCTGACCTGCCTGGTAATAAATGAGATAGTAAATGTTTCATTTTCAGCTGCTGAGTTTTAGGGTGATTGATCATGCAGCAATAGATGCCTAAGAAAGAAGTTGATTTAAAAGCCACACTTGGCCAAGTGCAATGGCACATGCCTGTAATCCTAGTGGCTGAGGCAGGAGGATTGAGAGTTCAAAGCCAACCTCATCAATGGCGAGGTGCTAAGCAACTCAGTGAGACCCTGTCTCTAAATACAAAAATGGGGCTGGGAATGTGGCTCAGTGGTGAATTGCTCCTGAGTTCAATCCCTGGTACCCATCCCCCCAAAAAAGCCACACTTGAAGCATTTTGATGTCACTCATGTAGGAATAGACAACCTCGGCTGGTGCATCTGCAGTCTCCTCTCTGCTTGCTGGGAGGTGGGCTTTGAGACCTCCATGACTGGCAGTCTTTGGTGGTCTGCTTCCACTTCTGTAGATGCAGAACTTGAGGACTAGGAGAGAGTCCTCTATGCTCAGGAGCCTCTGGGATTTGTGCCCTTCCCCACCTTACAACTGTCTCCTCTATACCTGATTCTATAGGAATTTTTTTTCCAGTACTGGGGATTGGAGCCAGGGTCACTCTGCCACTGAGCTACATTCCCAGGTCTTTTTCTTTATTCTTTTTGAAACAGGGTCTTGTTAAATTGCCCAGGCTGGACTGGAATTTAACATGCTCCTTCCTCAGCCTCTGGAATGCTGGGATCACAGCCCTGTGCCACTGTGCCTGGTTTCAATAGCAATTTTTTGTCTGTTTGTTTTTTGGTACTGGAGATTTAACGCAGGGTGCTTTACCCCTGAGTTGCATCCCCAGTCCTTTCTGCTTTTTTTTTTTTTTTTTTTTTTTGATACAGGTTCTCACTAAGTTGCTTAGGAGCCTTGAATTGAATTTAGGATCCTCCTGCCTCAGCCTCCTGAATTGTTGGGATTACAGGCATGCACCACCACGCCCAGCTCTTCAATGACAAATTTAAAATTAAATTACTTTTAACAAATCTTTCCAAAATATCAACCTAGGGAGAGAGCAACTCTGTATTTTTGCACTCATTCTGGCAGCTTGCATAGTATTTAATGAACAAACCCATTAATGTGTTTAATAGGTATAAAGAGATTGGGAACAAAGCATGTGGCCCTCAAGGGGTGGGACTGAGGCTCAGGGAAGGCTTGAAGCAGCCCCAGTCAGGGAAGTGGTGCTGGGGGGGGGGGGGGGGGCTCTAGGAGCTCCTGGGATGGCACCACTGCACTGGTATGGATGGGTGCTCTGCCCTTTGGAGAGTGTCAGGAGGATCCCCCGGTGCTTTGGGGGGGGAGGCACTCAATGCAGCAGCTGGCTTAGTGCCACTGGGTCAAGAGAATGTCTGCTTTGGTCTCTCCAGCTTCTGGGGCCTCTTAAGGCCTAAATCTAGAGGACGTCTCTGTCTAACTCCTCCCCGTTTACCTCCATATTCCACCAATCGCTAAGTCTCCAAGGTTATGCCTCCCACTTTTCTGAGCCCATTTTGTCCCTCCCAGGAGCCTTCCTCTCCAGCTCAGAGGCTGCCTTGGGCTCTGCCCCTCCCACGAGCTGCAGAAGTGTCCCTTCAGGCTCGCTGCCTCCCAACCCACCTGGTTGCTGCCCTGCCCACCTTCTCCTGCCCTCTGAGCGCAGGCTTTCCCACCTGGCTCCAGGTGCTGCCCGGCCACGCCCCCTGCCCCTGCCCCCTGGCGGAGGATGTGCTGGGGCTCTGGGTCTACCAGCTGGGACTCATTTATCTGTCCTCTGAGCCTCCCTGTTGTCCCAAAATGGGGATAACAAGCAATGCTGGCCACCCTTGCCCTTGGCTGAATAGTGGGAGGATTAGATAACAGAGATAAAAGGGCTCTAGAGCATCACGGGCTTTTCGAAGGGCTGTTATTGTTTTTATCATCATCATCATCATCATCATTATTATTATTATTATTTAAAGTCAGTATTTTTTCTGTTTATTTAACTCTATTTATTTATATTTTATGTGGTGCTGAGGTTTGAACCCAGCGCCTCACACATGCTAGGCAAGCGCTCTACCACTGAGCCCTAGCCCAGCCCCACTATTATTATTATTATTACCGTCCTGGTCCTCACCACTCAGAAAACCAGATGGTCAGAATCATAGATGGCTATTAAAAAGGGCCAAACATGGCCGGCTTCGGGCGTAGCTCAGAGATGGAGCGCTGGCCCATTGGAGACACCTGGGTTCAATCCCAGCACCAAGAAGGAGAGCCCAGAATCCACCAGGTCCTTCTCCAGAGCCCCAGGGAGGGTAGGAGGAGCAGGGAGGGATGGGCAGACCCCTGTAGGTCAGGCGGGGAGGAGGAGGCCTGCAGCCCACTTGGCCTCCTTCCCGGTTGGTGGTGGCCAACCAGGGCTTGCAGGGCTTTGAGGGGCCACTAAAAATTTTTAATTTCTTTCATCAGAAGGATAAAAATGAATTTTTAGGATGAACAAAGTGCTCTAATACATAATGTTGATATATTCACCTTTATACCGGTGCATCCGAAAATTAAAAATTCACATTTTTTTGATGGAAGAAAAGGTCAAGGAAAGCAACAGAAATGGACCCAGGCGCTGGGGATGTGGTCATGTGGCACAGTGGCAGAGCCCTTGACCAGCATGTACAGGCCCTGGGCTTGATCCCCCAGAGTGCAGCAAAGAAAGAAAAGAAAATCAATGTAGCCTGAGCCAGAGCAAGGATCTGTGGTTGTTGTTGTTGTTCTGGGGAATTAACCCGGGGCACTGAGCCCCATCTCCAGCCCTTTTCATTTTTCATAGGTCTCCGCAGGCCACCTGGAACTGGAAACCATCCTGCCTCAGCCTCCCAAGGCTGGGGTCATAGTCAGGTGCTGCTGGGCCCTGCTACTCTGGGCTCTTACCTCTGAAGGGGGTGTGACTGCATGAGCCCTGGGGAGAGAGGCGCTGCAGTGCTCCTGGCCGTGGCTTCCTCCATCCATCCATTCCTCCAGCGGGGACCTCTGGTCCCTGACCTGGCACTAGGGACACACCCTGAAGAAGGCAGGCAAGGTCTGGGTGTACAGGGATGGAGAAGGAAGACAGAACACTGCTAGGCAGACACGAAGAGGCTTTTCAACAGCCACACTGCGGCCCAAGATCCCTTCATCCCTACCCAGCAAGAGGCCCTGGGAGCTGAAGCCAGATGGACCCAAGAGGCTGTAGTGACTCTAGCACTGTCCATGCCCCTGCTGGGGGCACCTGGGAGCCAAGAGCACTGCCCATGGCAGTATAAGAGCACGGGCGGCTCACATCAGCAGCCCCAGAGTCTGCCCTCACCACGTCCTCCACTTGTCCTGGCAGCTGGGCACCTTCTGAGCACGGGTGCCCTGGATGCTTGCCTTGAATCCCTGGGGACAGGAGCAGCTCACTCACCTGCCTTCCAGGTGTGGGGCTTGCAGGGGGGAAAGGGGGACACAGAACTGTTGCCAGGTCCTTGCCCTGGCACAACTTGGCCACCTCAGCCTCGGGCCCAGGCCTCACAGGGTGACCTCTCCATCTTGGGAATGTGTTGCTGAATCTAGAAGATGCTGAGGCAGAAGTGACGGTGGGGGGGGGGGGGGGGGGCAGGACAAGCTCAAGTGTGTCCCAGTGAGATGTATCAGCCCAAGGACCCCCAGCCCATGCCCCCTACCAGACATACATGCCCTGGTGGGAAGCCTGTACGGGTCACCAATACATCTCAGATGCAGGTGTACACTTACCGTGTGGTGACACACATGTGACCAGTGAGCAGATCCACCGCAAGTAGAACAAGAAATGCTTTTGCCTCTGGGTTTTGGCCTCCTTCATTCTGAATTCCGACCTGCCAAGCACTCCTGGTGCAGAGCCACAGGGAAGAGCTCACCTTGCCACAGAGGCCCTGCCTGGCTGGCCTCCCCCAGCCCTGAGGCTTGGTACCTGGTCCCATCAAAGCCTCCTGGGAGTGGGCCCAGTGAAGAGGTCTCACAGGCAGCCCTGAGGGTCACCCCTGTACCCTAATGGCCCTCCAGTCTGCTGGAGAGCAAGGTGGGGACAACACATAGGGGTGGCTGAGGAGCCTGGTGAGCCCCAGAGGGAGGGAGCCCCAGGGGCCGGTCTCTCTCCCTGCCAGGCCTCTTGCCAGGCTCCCTGCCAACCCCCCCCAGCACCGCCCCCGACATGCCTGCAGGTCTGGCAGCCTCTTACTTTCAGTTGAAAAGGAGGCTCCAAAGTGTGTCTGGAAACTTGGGGGCCGAGGAGGTCCAAATCCCATGGGTCTCAGTTTCTCCCAGGAAAACTGGCCCAGAGCCAGAGAGATGGGGTGGGGGGTGGTCAGGCATGTATGTTCCCCTCCCCAGGCCTGGCAGGCTGTGGTCATCCTTGGCAGGAGTCAGCCATCCCCAGGAGGGGCAGGAGGAGGAGAACAGATGGGAGGCAGCAGCTCCCACTCCCTGGGACTGGGCTCCATCCACCCACCCAATCCAGAGAGCCTGGTTGAGTAGGGCAGTGGCCCCCAGGCCTCTTCAGGGCAGCCTGGCCTGGCTCACAGTGACAGGGAAGGGGAGGGAGTAGTCTCGGGTTGCCATTCCCCCACCTCCCACTCCAGGGCACTTAGGGAACAACTCCAGGCCTTGGGTCTCAGCCTCCCTTTTACAGAATGAAGGGCTCAGCTGGAGGTACAGCTCAGCAGTCAGGCACTTGGGCAGGCTGCTGGAGGCTCTGGGTTTGATCCCTAGCATCAAAACAATAAAAACAATAACACTAATGAGGGGCTTCTGACCCCATCTGCCAGCTCTGGGCAGGAGGGGACATGAAACGCTTAGACTTTAAGAACTCCAGAGTCTACCCACCCAGCCCCTCTGTGTTTGCCTCCTTCCAAGAGAGAAGACAGGCTTTGGTGTCTATGTCCTAATACCTGGGCCTTGAAACCAGGTCCTGGAATCCCTGCGTGCAGAGAGCTCGGGCAGTGCAGGGGCCATGTGAAACTGGTCACTCTCTTTCCCTCTCAGGGCCACAGTGTCAGAAGTGAGGCTGGGCAAGCTGGAGGAGAAGACCTGAGCCCCCAGGGACAGGTTGGGCTGGCACAGCACTGTTTCAGCCCTGCCCCAGGGCCGGGTGGTTTAGCTACCCAGGACTGAGCTGAGCACAGCCCTGGCATTTCACATGACCCACTGCCCTCCCCAGACCTCAGTCTTACGCCTGCAGATTGGGAACAACCCCACCTTGAGGGCTGTGGTGAGGACCAGATTATACCAGTCAACTGCCCAGGATCCACAGCCCCCTCCCCTTTCCAGGTTGCAGGGCGTGGTAGGGCCAGCAGAACTGGGCATGGCAGAGTAGTCCCCTTCCCCCCGTTCCAAGGGTGGGGTGGGGGGCTGGGAAAAGTTCCAAAGCGGTGGCCCAGCTGGTGGGGAAGGGGTGGCATGGTGTGTGCATGAGGAGGTCTTGCCCTCTCCCATTTGCCTGGCAGCCTGGGAATGTGAGGCGGGGCCTCTGAACACCCGCAACTCCAGGCCCACCACCTCAGGATGGGGAGGCTGGGTGGGCAGGGCCTGCCCATGAGGGGGTGGCCTCCGTCTCCCCAGATGCAGGGCATCTCTCCCTCAGCCCACCTGCCTCAGGCTCCAGCCCTTCCCACACCTGTGTCTGCAGATGGCTCCTCCCTCTGGCCCAGGCAGGGTCAGAGTCTCCTGGCAGCCCCATGCCTTTGCACCCCTGCTGGGAAGCTCTTCCCTCCCTCCCATCTGTCCACTCGGCAGGTCCATCCTGCCCCAAGGTTAGCATGGCCCTCGCTTCTCCCACTGTATCATGGCCCCCTGGGTTTGCAGCCGCAGAGCTGGGCCCTATCTCAGGCTTCCCAGGCCTTCCCCAGGCTGGCGCTCCCTGAGGGCAGCCCCTGCAGATTGTCTTTGATGAACAGAAACAGATCAATAAGCAATTCACGGTCCTGCAAGAACCCCCGTGTTCCTACATTTCACTGACAAGTGGCTCAGAGACATTAAGGGACTGAAGTGGCAGTGCTGGGATCTGAAGTGAGGCAGTGGGCCTCCAGTGGGCCTTCTCTCCATGAAGAATCTGCTCTTTACCCTGAGGAGACCCAGGCGAAGCCATAGTGGCCTCACAACAGGGCTCGCAGACCCAGGGAGAGACCCCTGGTTTTGCCCTGGAGGAGGGGCAGCTGGCTTGCTTCCTCTCCCAACCAGGGGCCCACAAGAGGGGCTCAGGGCTTAGGAGAGCAGTTTTTCCCCTGGCCTGGGCCCACTTAGAGTGCAGAGTACCTGTGGCCCTTGGTCTGCCTGGGGACAGAGTTGGGCAGCTGGGCCCAGGACTTGACAGCCCCAGAAGGGACTGTATTGGATACCTCTGATGCTCTTGACCCACCCACCACCCTGAGGTGCCCTGCTGTGGACTCCAGTCCCCTTGAGGATTACCTGTCCACAGCAGTTGAGCAGGTAGGGGACCCCAGGAGGCCTCTGCTTGTCAGCAGCCCTAGAGCACCTGTATGGGAATTGCCAGGAGCTGGTCACTTGTGTCCTGTGGGAATGCAGGTGGTGTGCCCTCACCCTGCACCCTCCCCAGCCTCAGCCTCACCAGGAGCAGTGGCCAGGGCCCTCCAGTTGGTCAGGGCCAGGCAGAGAGACATACAAGAAGCTCTCACCTTGCCCATCAGCGTTTTTCTCTGGTTTTCCTCAGTGTTAACCATCCCAACAGCTCCTCCTAACCACCTCAAGGCTCTTATGGAGGATCCCATGTAGCCCAACATGGCCGTGCACACCTGTAATCCCAGTGACTTGGGAGGCCAAGGCAGGAGGATTAGTGAGTTCAAAACCTTAACGACATAGAGGATCTCACTTAATGCTTACAATCCTGATTCTGCATTTGAGAAAAGTGAGGCATAGAAAGGTTGTGGGATTCATCTGAGGTTGCACAGCTTGTACATGTAGGAGCTGAGACTTGAGCCAAAGCTGTCTGACACAGAATCCTTGCTTGAAACCCCATCTCATAGCAGGGGGAATGTCCTTTCCTCCCTGGGCCCCTCACCCCACCCCACAGTGAGTCCAGGCATCCCTGGGGAATTCCACAGGCCTGGAGGAGGAGGAGGAAGTCCTCTCTGCCCCAGGTCATCCTTCTCTGCTGCTGCCTTATAGAGGTGGGGCCAAGGGAACAGGAGAGAAGGGCTGTTCCTGGTGCCCGGCAGCCAGGGTTGCCCGACTACACAGGGTGTGAGTATGTCCAAGGCTCCCCTGCCCACCCTGCCCCAGCTGGCTCCCAGCCAGAGCCCCTTCCTGCCAGCACCCCCCAGTCTGGCCCCCAGCACCTCAGGGGCCTGAGAACAGCAAGTGGCTTGCTGGAAGGGACAGAGTGGCCAAGGGGCCTCTGGATAATCTTGGGGAACGCAGACTGTCCACTCCACAGGGGTTCGCCAGCCCCCTGGCACCACAGGCCAGACCACTGCATGTTACTTCAGCTCTTCAACACCCTCAGTGTCTCTGATCCCGGTGACACATGGGCGAGGTTAGGGAGCAGAAAGCCACAGGGCTCCTGAAGAAAGGCAACTGGCTGCCCTTTGTCCCCCGGCCCTCTCAGCTCCCTCTCTGGCCAGGCCTCAGCAGCACTCTCCTACATCATCCATCTCCAGTTTTGGTCTTCTTTGCCAGCCACCCTGTGACCCTGAAAGGTTCCCCCACCTCCAGCCTCTCTTGGATGGCTCCCACCCGAGGGGCACATGGGTGTGCTGCCTGGAGGCTTCCGGCCCCCTTGCTGCTCTCCTTGCTCAGATTCCAGGCACAGCCCACCACATCCCGACGCAGTCCTCCAGGCTGTTCCTCCGTTTGCAGGTTGAAAATCAATAGTTACCCTGCTGGCCTGTAATCCCAGCGGCTCAGGAGGCTGCGGCAGGAGGATCGAGTTCAAAGCCAGCCTCAGCAAAGGTGAGGCGTTAAGCAACTCAGTGAGGCCCCATCTCTAAATAAAATACAAAACAGCGCTGGGGATGAGGCTTAGTGGCCGAGTGTCCCTGGGTTCAACCCCGGCACCCCCCCCCCAAAAAAAAAAAGAAAGAAAAAAAAAATCAATGGGTTTTCTACCCCTTGTGGACGATGATGGCGCGCAAATGGAGGGACTTTATTTAGACGGTAGTGAGTTCAGTTTAATCCATGTCGGAGCAAACAAAATGAGTGACTCAAACATCCCGGACAGGAACGCACAGGGGGAGGCCGCCGGAGAGGGAGGGCCAGGGGCGGGGGGGCCGCTAAGGGCAGGCGAGAGGGCTGGGCTCTCCGGCCTCTGATCCGGCTCAAACTTTCCCAAGCCCAAGTCAGTCCCGCTGGCCCTGGGTGACTTCCACCCTGTCCGCTGCTGGCCCTCCTCTTCCCGGTGGCCTGCTGAGGCGGAGGGTAGTTAGTGGCCACCGTGCGCCGCGGGCCCCTCCGGGTCTGTCTTGGCGCTAGGTCCCAGGGAGGCATCCGATTGGCTCCGCTCTCACCAGGCCGCCCCTGATAGGCCCCTGGGCAGCCTATGGATGGGCTCCCCTCGGCTGGCTGGTCCAACCCGTGTCGGGCAGGACAGATTCAGGGGCCTGGGCAGCGGGAGTCTGGGGCGGAGCTGGGGCGGAGCTGGGGCGGAGCTGGGGCGGAGCTG